GTTTGTCGTCCGGAAATAACTTTCTCTTGTTCAGGCAACGGTCTTTTACTTCCTATTTCCTAAGCTGTCGTGCGCACTTTCAGCCAGTAGTCTTCCAATATGAGTAAAAATAATGAAGACCCGTGTGTGATGTTTTTTTTCCATAGCAACCGTTTTCGGGGTATCTGGGTGTGATTCAAGAAAAACTATCGAAAGTCGTCCTGGAAGGAAAGGGGTCATCGCAGACAGCTTCTAAGCACTCTTTGTTTTCACTACTCAATTTGCCTTCCTAATAAAATAATGAAATAATCGCACAATCCTCTCCGAACCGTGCGAAGCCAAACAAGGTTTCAGACAGGGCGACTCCTTATTGTGGAACTGAGAGAAAATAATTCGAGCTGCAGAGCTGAATAGAGAAAGTTAAATACTATAAGAGTGTATAGCTGCTGGCGTATACCGATGATGTTGATATCATTGGTCAGACTGGATACTGAAGCAAAGGGTATGTGTCTGGTAGTGAACGAGGACAAGACGAAATATCTCCTGTCATGAAACAAACAGTCGTCGCACTCGCGACTTGGCTCCCAGATCAGAGGTTGACAGTCAAAACTTCGAGGTCGTAATTAGATAATTTAGTTTATCTTCTAACCAGCATTAACACAAACACAAACATCAACCTCGACATCCAACACAGAATAACTCTTGCCAACAGGTGCTACTTCGGACTCAGTAGGCAATTGATAAGTAAGACTTCTCTAGACGAACGAAGACCAAATCCTACAGTCAGTCCTCAAGCATATAATATTTCTTTTGATATCTCAAAATATTCTTCACATATTTAATTATGGTGGATATAATATTACATTGCAAATGAAGTCTTCTGGTAGGGACTAATTGAGTTACTTTTTTCCTTTTCGTATTTTGTCAAAGATGTCGTTGCAGTCGTATATCTCCAGTGTTACCAATCACATTGTGTCGTTCAATATAGTGTTGGAAGGGTGAGATTTTAAGCTTCATTTAGCCAAAACAAAAAAGTTGAAAAAGTTACAGCGGTTCAAAAATGAGTTAAAATAATGAAGAACTCGCTATATTTTGAAATGTTTGCATAAAATGGGGAAGAATCCCATACAAGCCGCCAAGGAAATTTGTGGTGTTTACGGAGACGATGCTGTATCAGTTTGTGTAGCACAACAATGGTTTGCTCGTTTCCGTTCTGTAAATTTCGATTCACACTGATGGAAAAATGTCTCTAGCAGAAAAATGGCAAAAAGGGTCGAGAAAGTGATACATACGAGTATTTGTTTATTTATTTATTAGTATAAATATAAAAAATATGTTAAAGTTTGGTTAGAAATACGAAGGGACTTTTTCGACTACTCAATATTTTCTAGCCTTCTTTGGAATAAAATAGAAGTTCTCCAAGTCTCCTTTTCACCGCCATTGTAGATGCGGATAAAAACAATTGCCTGACTTCTGACAACAGTCATCCAAAGTAGTTACAATTATAATAACGGTTATATGTTAAGCTCAACAAAGAATGTTTGATCAATGCCAGAAGTTAACTATGAAGGAGCTTTGAGCTGCGCGCAACGAAATTGTGGCTTAGTCCCTACCCGCTTTGGGAGACATTCATTTGCACATCTTCCATCCTATTTCATTATATAATACTAGGGGACCCGTCCACGCTTCACTGTGGCTGATACATAAATAATACTATTACTACCATTTATATGATTTCTATTAGTTGGATTATAATTATTAGTTAATGAGATATAGCATTTCGTGTTTTGAATTTGGGCTCAACGAAATCCACCGTTAAAAAGATATTTGCTAAGTTGGAAACAGGCGAAATCAGCAAAATGAGGCTCTTAAGAGGCGAAAGCTCTGTGCAAAGTGGGTGACTCGCAAGACGGCTGGAAAGGACATGATATCAGTATTTTGGAATGCATGTGGTATAATACCTACTCAATGACTGATTACTGAGCATATTTGGCATGAATTTTGAAATAATAATTTTCTTAGCCAAATCGGTTATAAATGGTGTAACTAACAAGAACTTTCTTTCATATATATAGATATTAATTGCTTCTTGAGTTGTATACCGGAAAGTGAGAGAATCAAAAGGAATTTAAAATTGTGTTATATGGGAAGCAGACGTTTTTATAGTTCGTTTTTTTTCCTCAGATATTATCCGATTTCATTAATTTTCGCACTATTGGTGGGTGGCTTAAGGGATTTATTCTGACCGTACTTGGTAATTTTGGCTTAAGTGGTATATGTTTTTTAAATCTATTAGAGGGAGAGCCAGCGATAAAACGACAGCCCGGTCATTCTCAGCTCCTCTTAAGCCAATAAATGGCCATAAATATGTGCGAACAATTGCAAACTGAACTACCCTCATAAATAATACAGAATGTAGATATACACCCTGTCAAGAAAGTATCGGGAAATTTTCAGTTCCCCCTCTCAGCTCTTGTTTATATGGAAGACAGGTAAATTTCTTTTTCCTAGTTTGGTACAACTGTCCTTAATTATGATGCCAAAAATGTGTCAACAGCAGCTGTTTATGTCGGTCGACATCAGTAGCATTTGTCGAATTTTTAAATTTAAATCAACGTTTTTGTGTTAAATTTTGTCCAAAAACACAAAACAAATATCATTGAGCAAGCATTGTTTTTACCTGATATGGCCCTTTGTGACTTTCTTCACACTGAAAAATCCACTTCGGGGAACAGGCTTCGATTCAATTGAAGACTTCAAAACAAAACAAGACGCGAGAGCTGAAGGCCATGGAAAAGTACCTATAAAAATGTTTTGAAATGTGCATCGCTTCAAATGGATGTTACTTTGAAGGCGATAAATTAAATTTTGATGATGATTGAAAATTTTCGTTTGATTTATAAATCCCTGATAGTGAGAGGGTGAATAGAATTACCCTCTTGCCTTATCTCAAATGTTATCAACTAACTCCTCCTCCGCCTTGAAAGCTGAACTTCTTACAGGATCATCTGAAGCAAAAAAGAAAAATATAGCTGTTTTAATTAAGACCAAAACTAGGTATTGGATGAATAAAAAACAAACACCAAAGTGAAAATTAAATTTTTAGAAGACGTTTTTCCAACAAAATCATTAAAATCGGTTCAGTAGTTAGCGAGAAATCTTGACAACCAACTTTGAAAAGAGAAAAACACGATTAAAGTTTTAAGCGCCTATAGACTTGTAGTTGAACTCAAGTGCTAACCTCTTCAGGCAATCTAGTATCCTATAAAGCAAAACTAACAAGTTGCTTTAACGAATGGAGAAGATTATGGTATTGAAATGGAAATGACTATGCAATGTGTAATATCATGGATAGTCATTTCACAAATCACAAAGTCTGCGGATTGTACGACAAGAGGTCAACAATTCTACTCTTTTGAGCTAAACCATGTGCAGTGTAAAATTACCGAAATTTGTACTTAAATAATGGTTAACATTATCAATTTTCGCTCACCATTAATAAAAAGCTCCGAAAGAAGAAAAAACTCTTTATGGGAGGATACAACCTAAAGAAGGTTATTGGTCTCAAAAGTGATAGACTAAGACAGCTTGTAGCTGACTTTAAAGGTTGTGGAACCCAGCAGCAAAGACACTGGAGGATCCATTAGTCGAATGCCAAATAATTGCAAGAACATACGTCCAAGTAAACAGATCAGCAAAAGCACATCCATTAGACTAACCGAGACTAGTTATCATACACCTAAATTAGTATAATTGGTTCTTTTAGCCGATACAAGTAGTTTAAGTGCATAAAAATGTAATTGTAATCCATTCAGCATGTTCTGCTATAAAAATAAAGGAATTAAGAAATTGGAATCAGAAGGATTATGGACATCGCGCCACCCAGAATGAACTAAACTTAAATAAATCAGACTATATCATCCTAAGGTTAGATTGCAATAGTAATTTTCGGGTGAGATTGTCTTTTCGGCGTGAACGGAGAAAAGGTTTCGTGGAGGAGAAGGATACTACCCCTATATACACTGACAGGTCCAAAATTGGCTATGGAGTAGAGTCCGTTGTATACTTCATTGATCTTGATCTCTCTCTCTCTCTCCCTCTCTCTCTAGATCGGCCTCGGCCATCATCTTACAAGCGGAAGTACTAGGCATAGAGTAGACCTACGTTAGTATAAACAACAATTGTAGGAAGACTTTAAACTCACTGGCAGTTCAACACCGCTTGTTATTCACAAATTTGGTTAACGGTCATAGGAAAATTTTCGGCGCCGAAAAAGCAGACGACCCTTTTATGACGCAACGAATCAGAGGCGGACTTAATACCTTGGCCGTTGGTAACGATCAAGAGAGAGCTTTAAAGCATCTTGAATAAATAACTCAAACAGATGGAAATCCATAATCAACTGAAATATAACAAAGAAGATATGTCCGAAGTAGAACAATACTAGAATTAAGAACTTATTATATAGGTCCAGGAAAATTATAGACATACATATTTATAGCTACTACAACGGGGCCTTTAGGAAAACATGCGCTAAAAATATGTGTGTCTACTCGTATAACAAAGACAGCTACACAGTTGCTCTATGATTTCTCACTTATTACAAATCCGACACAGAATTCTTGGTTTTAAGATAATATGTCTTTTTATGAGCTTGGCGATTTTTGCATTTTAAAAGATATGTATCAAATAATGAGTCCATGATCATAATGTTAGTTCTTGGTCAGAAGTAATACTGTAATGATGCCTCAGCATTCAGAGATGGCTCCGTGTGACTTTATTAAATTTCCAAAAATAAAGAGAGCCTTTAAGTGCTGTCGGTATTCCAGCATAGCTGAAAGGCGATGGGCTAAAAGATATCCCAAAAATCGATTTTAAGAAGTATTTTCACGATTGGAAGAAGTCCTGGGATAGATACAAGGAGCGTTCCAAAGTAAACAGGACTTTTTGAATCTAGCGCCCCTGGGTAGAGCCAGGTAGAGTGCGTTAGAATCTGCTATATTTATCAATTATTGAGTTAATGACATTTCATTGATTGGGAATAAAGTTATTGTGTTTTAAGTGTCAGTATGTTTGTGTTATCGGTGCGATGCTTCAAAGCAGGTGTGAGCTTCAAACAAAGAGCCAACATTAAATTTTGTTTTAAAACTGGTAAATCTTTTACCGAAACATTTCAATTGATGAGACAAGTTTATGGCGATGATTGCCTATCCCGTAACAGAGCCCACGAGTGGTTTCAACATTTTGAATAAATAGACATAAATAACGGTCAACATGTGAGCCAATCAAAATCCGCGATCACCGGAAATTCCATCGTAACTGCGCGTGAATGCATCTAAAATCCGCGGAAATCATCATTGAAATTCATGGAAATGGAATTGAACATCTCTAAAACATCAATTTATCGCATTTCGACCGAACGTTTGGGTTTACGAAAGGTGTGTGCACGGTTTTTTCTGCACAAATTGACTGACGACAAAGAATTGCTCAGAATCCGACATTCGAAGGACCGCTTGTGACCAAAAATTACATTTTAACCATTAAGTATTCGGAAAATTGCATTTGCAGGCTGGGCGCCGGCATACTGGCGGCCATACCGGCCAACGAGCTAAAAAACTCATTCGACGTGCTTTTGTTGGCGACAACATAAATGTAGATAAATAGACTGTAAAATCCCTGGCTACTATACCAGAATTTTTCTTTACGGCTACTGAGGTCAGTATGTGTGAAAACGAAGATAATAACTCTGAACTTACATTTTTCTAAAGCATTGTCTAAAGTATTTGGCAGCACTGTTTAAACTTTTCAAGAAGAACATTATCCTTCTTCAATTATTTCTGTGCCTTGCAAGAGCTCGCCAGCATCGTAGTACCCGCGCTTCAGCTTTTTGATCCGCACAATCAATCAATCTAAGTTTTGACTTGCCCCTATTTCTGTTATTTCTGAATCTGTGTTTTCGTCGACGCGAAAGATATGGAGTCTTAAAGGAGAATGATATGCACCGTAGGGCGAATCTGCGTCCAGATTAGAATGAAGTTCCTCCCACTCAATCTGAATTTCGCCCTCATTTGGTGGCACCGTTAATTCCGATTGTAGATTGGGTAGTCGATCTCAATGGAAAGAAGCGGAACTAACGAAAGAGTAACATGGGTCTTCTAGAATAGGTTGATTAAAAGGCTGAGCACATGGTTCTACAAAATAGTCTCTACCACGGAAGCTGTTACTAAGCTTCGGATAAAAAATAAAATATAGAGAAATGGAAAACAATGTTGCTTTTGAAATTCAAAGCATTCGTAATAGATGTGAATTAATTTGTACTGGTTCATGTTTTTTTTTTCAGCGTTAATATCAACTTATTACTCGATGATATAAATAATACGCCGATCAGATTTCGGATGCAACTAACTTCGGTGGAGCCATAAACACCTTGACCAACTCCGTCTAAGTGAATGGCTTGGAGGCAAGCCATCACCCATTGCTGATGACGAGCTCGAATTGCCAGGAGAGTCGAGAGTGACTTATTTACCTAGAACCCTGTTATACCAATAATATATGTATGTCCACCATGCAACGAGCCCCGCATGACTCTAACCACCTCTTTGCATGCCAAGCTAACCCTACACATCTGACATCCTTTTCCCTATGGTCCAATCTTTTCGAAAAATCATGTTTCCTGGGCTTACCGTTGGATGAGCTCGATTATAACTTATCTTACCTTACCACCCTAACGGAGACCTGATAACCGTAACAACAACAACAACGTTAACTCAGTACATCAAATTAAGAATTAGCAAGTCAGTTTCTAAAGACCTGTCTGATTGTTTGAGGGGACGTATTGTATACCAGGTATTTGAACATTTGGAGAATAATCTGATATCACTTGATGTAGCTTCCCTTTTGATGTGTTCGTACAGAAAACTGTAACTAAATATAATATATAGGAGGTCTTTACTAGGCCATGTCATTGGCAACAAAATTCTTAATCAATCCATATTTATTGTTTTCTTACCGCTAAATTCCACACATATATATTATTAAGATGTAAATTTTTGTTGTAAAAAATATATATATTTATTAATCTTAGTAAACATTTCATAAATGTACAAGTATGTATACTTGGATATATGCAATGATTTACGAAAATAATTTGGAATAATACAGAAGTCCAAGACAGTAAAAAATATATGAAATTATTTGCCATTTTAGTTGGCAGACTTTAGTCTAGACTCTAGACTAACTTCATGGTGATAGTTTTGGTTTCTAGATAACTGTCCAAACCATCCTTGCCTAGCTCACGACCAATACCAGACTGCTTATAGCCGCCGAAAGGAGTTTGCGGTAGCACGGCATCATAACAATTGATCCAAACGGAACCGGCATTGACGTTGTTGGCGAATTTCGTGGCCCTATTGATGTCATTAGTGATAACACCAGCTGCGAGACCGTACACCACGTCATTGGCACGATCAATGATCTCCTCCATGTCGCTGAATTTAAAGATTGATTGAACAGGTCCGAAGATCTAAAAATAAAATAATAATATGGGTAATTAATTAAATATAAAACCCTTGTTTTTTACATAAAAAAATTCCACGATGATTTTAGTATAAATTTTAGTTTTTAAAAGTTTACACAATTTTCACCAGAAAAGAGCTAACGGCACCCGAGATTGCAAAATTTTTAATACGAGTATTTTATCTAATGTCTCCCATTTGGTGGAAAATGAAAATTTAAGAAAAAAATAAATAAATAATAACCGTACCTCCTCTTGTGCGATTTTCATTTTGTCGGTAACATCCGAGAACACCGTCGGTTCGATAAAGTAGCCGACATTACCGATGCGCTTGCCACCGCATTGTAACTTGGCACCTTCCTGCTTGCCACTTTCAATATAACCCAAGACCTTATTCATCATTTCGTCATCGATTTGTGGACCCTGTTTGACAGACTCGTCGAATGGATTGCCAACTTTGCGGGCTTTGGCTGCCGCCACAGCTTTGGCAACGAATTTATCGTAAATCTTTTCGTGTACATATGTGCGGCTACCGGCACAACAGCTTTGACCGTGATTTGAGAAAAGTGCTTCGTGGGTAATATCCACCGCTAAATCAACTAGAGAAGATAAAAGAAAAAATAATTGTATACTTTGAAACAAATTTATTGAAGATATGGCTGCCCTACTGTCGGCGTCGTCGAACACCACAACCGGACTCTTGCCACCTAATTCCAGCGTGACACGCTTCAAATTCGACTTGGCTGCCGCCTCCATAATAATGCGTCCAATTTCTGCGGAACCAGTAAATGCGACCTTCTGTATATCGTGATGTTCTGATATCGCAGCACCTGCGGTGGGGCCGTAGCCGGGTATGACATTGATAACACCAGCGGGAAAACCAGCTTCTTTAGTCAAAGCCGCCAAGTGCAGCGCGGTGAGTGGTGTCTGTTCAGCTGGTTTCAAGACGATCGTACAACCAACAGCGAGAGCTGGCGCCCACTTCCAGGCCAACATAAGTATCGGATAATTCCATGGAATGATTTGACCAACCACACCAACGGGTTCCTTACGTGTCTGTACAATGAATTCACCACCAGGAATCGTATCGCCAAAAAACTTGTCGGTCCAGCCGGCATAGTATTTAAATGTCATAATGGCGATGTCAATATCAAAAACAGAGTCGGCGTAAGGCTTGCCATTATCTTGTGTCTCAAGGCTAGCCAATAAGCTCTTATCACGTTCCAAGAGGCTGCAGAACCTGATGTGTAAAAGACAGTTATATTCAAAAATAGATTCTTAAAAAAAAAGAAGTTAGTTTTATCTACATACTTGTTTATCAAGTCTGTGCGTTGGAGTGGGGCCAGTTTGCGCCATTCGGAGTTTCTATGGAATGCTTTTTTAGCGGCAGCCACAGCTAAGTCAACGTCAGCCTGCACCGTGTAAGAAAAGAGTTACTTAAATCAGTACATATAGTACATGTATGTTTTTATGTATGTAGAAATGTTTCAAAATAAGTACGAATACCGTTATTTATTGATTATGCGATATTTTTCATTATCGTCTTTACTGCACTCACCTTATCGCCCTCAGCAACTTGGGCTATCAGTTTACCAGTTGCCGGATTGATGGTTGGAAACTTTTTTCCGGACACGGCGTCGACGAACTCATTGTTGATAAAGAGCTGTAAGTAACAAAAAAATATTCTTGCTTTTAAAAGAGATTATGGAATTTATGGGGGCTTGTTAATTTGTATTGGAATATAGAAGAAATGTCACAAACGATTTCGGCAAATAAGAAAGGTTCACCTTACAACCTTCGTGCCTTCGTGAAATTACAAAAAGCTAGGTATTGATGGAGCCTATAGGTTTATGTCAGAGTTTCCCCTACACATCGTCAATACAATCTCAGCTGGCTAAGTAATTAAACACCAACAATTTTGGTGCTGTTTTATATTGTATACATTGGTGTATGATACAAGTCTATTGGAGCTTGTTTCCCAATTGTGTTCCGTTTCATATTGAGTTCCTTAACTTGATTAACCTAAATTTTTCAAACGTTTCCAAAATGTTAGTGGAAAGTACAATAGTTGGTTCTTGCTGGTTCTTGTTGGTTCTGACTTTCACTCACTTTTTGTATTAAAACTTGAGCTGTTCGAATCTGGTTCACTTAAAGCTCACATTGGAAATTTCTGCATATTAGCACTGTTATTCAAGAACTTTCATAAGCACTGGTTTTTTCTGCTGTAAGTTAGCGAGGAATGTATAGCGTTAGAGCTTAACATTTCAAAGGAGAATAGTATGGGTAGTTTCAGTCCGAATTACGATAGAATTTCTTAGCAAAATTAACTTTGATTTGAAATGTAAGAATGACAGAGAGAAATGGGTGCTAACTAGGGAATATCAAGTTTTATACATTGTAATTAAGTTCCCGCAAAATTAACAATTTCCATGCTTTTGTTATGCTAAAAACAGCTACTGGTTATTTCCGGTGTACTTTCGGATGCAAACAAAAAGCAACTGAATACAAAAAATTGACATCTGGTTTATTTGTGGTGCGAAAAGAGGTTTCTGCTGTAAGGGCATGAAACCGCTTACTAACGGCTAGTTTTTCAAGTTATCATGTGAAATCTATATTATTGATCCGATTTAAGCGTATCTGTATTTAGTTGGACTTTATGTTTATAGATTTAGCTCAAGTTACACATGTAAACAAGCTCCAAAAAAAAAAAAAATAAATAAATAAATAAATAAAAAACGGTATCTTTATACATTATAACACTTTATAAATATATATTTCTATATACATATATACTTAAGTGCATATAGTATCTAATGAGTCCACTTGAACAGCTTTTTTATTGCTACAGTTTAGGAATGCGAATGGGCAACTTTAAAAACACTCACCTGCGTATATTTTGGCGCTTGATTAGGATTTGCCATTTTTACTAAAATGAAGCTTTTAATATACTTTATAGTTAACACAAATCTTATTGGAACTGAAGCGTTTGACTTATGGACCACTTCACTAGGAATGCAGCGCTATTTATACCTCTCGTTTGCCTTAGCACAACAAAGCGACTTTGATGTGCGCTCTCGGCTGTGAAAAACGCCGGCATCGCGTCGCTTATCGCGGTATATACTTGTATATATATATAT